CCCTCCCATCTCCTTCCCTCCCTCCTACCTCCTTCCTTCCTCTCTCCCCCCTGCCCTCCCTCCCTTCTTTCCTTCCTCCCTCCCTTCTTTCCTCCCTTCCTTCCTCTCTTTCCTCCTTTCCTTCCTTCTTTCCCCCTCCCTCCCATTCCCATCTCCCTTCCTCCTATCTCCTTCCTTCCTCTCTCCCTTCTTTCCTTCCCTCCCTCCTCCTTCCCTCCCTCCCTCCCACCCGCCTCCTTCCTTCCTCTGTACCTTCCCTTTCCTCCCCTTTCCTTCCTTCCTTTTCTCCTTCCTCCCATTCCCATTCTCATCTCCTTCCTTCCTTCTTCCCTCCCTCCCTTCTTTTCTTCCTTTCTCCCTCCCTCCCTCCCTTCTTTCCTTCCTTCCTCCCTCCCTCCTGTTCTCCTTCCTTCTTCTCTTCCTTCCCTTTCCTCCTTTCTTTCCCTTCCCTTCCTTCCTTTTCCCCTCCCTCCCTCTCTCGATGGGGCCGATTCAGGACAGATAAAAGGGGGATGGCATGGCCCAGCTTATAATCCAGACCTGGAACTGGCAAGGCCAAGGATTTAGAAGGCAGCTTATGCAAACACCTGGCTGGCCAACCTGTCAGCGGTCCCTAATCGCGGTCCCAAGACCGGCGGCACCCAGTCGAAGGTGTGCACTTGTGTTCCTAGCGTCTTGGTTCAAATTGTTGCTTAACAAAATAACAGAGGTGGGAGGGACTTTGGAGGTCTTCTTAGTCCAACCCCTGCCCAAGGCAGAAGACCTTATCTCCAGGGTTGGAGCATTCACAGCTTCTGAAGGCAACCCATTCCACTGATTAATTGTTCTAACTATGAGGAAATGCCTCCTTAGTTCTAGGTTGCTTCTCTCCTTGGTTAGTTTCCACCCATTGCTTCTTCTCTTGCTTTCTGGTGGCTTTGGAGAATAGCTTGACTCCCTCTTCTTTGGGGCAGCCCCTCAGATACTGGAAGACTGCTATCCTCTCACCCCCTAATCCTTCTCTTCACTAGACTAGCCATACCCAATTCCTGCAACCGTTCTTTATATGTTTTAGCCTCCAGTCCCCTCATCATCCTGGTTGCTCTTCTCTGCACTTTTTCTAGAGCAGAGGTCTCCAAAACTTAGCAACTTTTAAGACTGGTGGACTTCCAACTCCCAGAATTCCCCAGCCAGCCATGCCTGCTTTTTTTCTCTTAACCTCCTAAAGTGCAGAGAGATTGCAGAGGAAGGGATGACAAGAGAGTCAGCTATGCTGGCTGGAGAATCCTGGGAGTTGAAGTCCAACCAGTCTTAAAGTGGCCGAGTTTTGGGGACCCCTGTGCTAGAGGCTCAACATCTTTTTTTTTTCTTTTAACATCATGGTGACCCAAACTGGATGCAGCCTCCCAAGAGTGGCCTTATAATGTTCAGCACCAACTTCCTGGCGTACAGTCTGAACTCAACTTGTAAATGTCTGATATTCCCTCATTTTCCTTCAACAATTTGCTTTTTTTCCCCTCTCTCTCTCTAATTTGTCCTCTCTAGGCAACAAGATCTATTCCGGGTCCTGAAAGCCTACACTCTGTATCGGCCAGAGGAAGGATATTGCCAGGCCCAGGCTCCCATTGCCGCTGTCCTGCTGATGCACATGCCTGCCGAGGTGCGCTAGAATTCCTCTTCCAGGCGCGCCATTCCGTCCCTTCTCCCTCTGTGTCCTTCCCTTCGCGCTCCGGAGGCGGCTTCCTCTGGCTCGGCTAGTCTGTAGTCTCTGTCGAGTAGACGTTCTCTCCCGCTGGGAGTAAGAACAGCCAGGACTGGATTTCCTGCTGTAAAAATAAAAGTTGGTGGAATGGGTCTCCTGCTTGATTGAGCAGGGGGCTGGACTAGAGGACCTCCAAGGTTCCTTCCAACTCTGTTGTCCTCTCTCTTTCCTCTCTCTTTCTTCCTCTCCTCTTCTCTCTCTTTCCTCCTCCTCTCTCTCTCTCTCTTTCCTCTCTCCTCTTTCCTCCTCCCCCTCTTTCCTCTCCTCTCTCTTTCTTCCTCTCCTCTTCTTTCTCTTTCCTCTCTTTCCTCTCCTCTCTTTCTTCCTCTCCTCT